ACTGTCTACCATTCTCAAGATCATCAGTAACGAGAATTTCGGAGGGAAACTAACGTTTTTAATTAAAAACTTTTATGTCGAAATTATCAGAAACACTTTTATACCGAATTTCCAGATTACCTGATCGTAGATTGCACCTGGTATACCGTCCGTGACATCAAATTTTATTAGTATAAGAAATCAATCAATTAATTAACTTTCGATTGCTGGGACTAGAAGTTTTACTTTGGAAATAAAACTTTTGTTCGGGAAAAGAATAGCGGAATTACAAAATAATGACTTAAAATGAACAAAAAAATATATATATTATATTGACAAGCTATTTTTGGTAGCGTTTCACTAACGAATAATTTAACGGAATTTTAAGATTATTCACCCAAAACACTATCGCATACATCATGAGTAAGCTTTGATTTATGTCTTTACTTGTTGTACGAGAAACTTTTCTAACGGATTCTAAATAAATGCAATTAGATAAATGGTTGAGAGAACTTTCGTTCGAAAATTTAACGACATTTATTATATATTGTGCAAATAGACATTTTAAATTTCATCAAAAACCTTATTGCTTAATCAATCGTTGAACGGTTAAAATAAATATTATACTTACACGACGTTTATGAAAATTGTGATCAAACATTATTGGTGTGTATTGGTTTCATTGGTAAAAAAAAAAACTGTTTTTGTTAATATAATATTATTCAGCTTAAAGATTAGTAAAAAAAAGAAAAAAAAACGTAGATATCATGGCCATATATTAACAGAAATCAGATTTCTCCATTCGAAAACACGGAATAATTTGTGTTATTTCTTTGTCCAGCTCTATAAGGATGACAACTGAAGATAATAGATCATCCGTCTAGGACGAATGCATGTAGTAATTAGGAACATGATGTTTCACGACGTAATACAATTAAAATAATCATGTTGATTGTGTTAGAATTGGAATACTTATGGTGTTAAACAATTATCTCTATTAATATTATTTATACCTAAAATGTTAATTTAAGGTAATTTTTTATATAAATTTATAATACTTTTTTTAATGTTATGTATAAATTAAATTTTTTTTTTTTACGTTATTTGACCTGTATAATGTACTTACTAATTATGATGAACAAAATGTCGAATATCTGACTCGAAATTTTGAAAGTTAAAAAATAAGGACCACCTTACTATACATACAAACTGTCACATCTAAATGGTCACGCCCAATCGTCCGTATTCGTACATCATACAAGGCACCAATCAATTAAAAATATTATACATAAGAGAATAGGGAATAACTTACCAGACAATTTTTAAGGTAGCTAAAAGTTACAAATCAAAAATATTCAGTATTTTTTATTTTGTTCAATTATTTGTATACGGTGAGAATAAATCATAAAATATTATCCTCGCTCCAAATCAATTTATTTTATATCCTCATAATCTCCTTGTTATGACAGTGACAAATCATGATTATATATATATGTATACATAAATCAATTAATTAAATTAATTAATAAATTATAATCATTACATATTTATGTATTATAAGCTTATAATAATTATAAAAATACCACCTTATATCTCAATAAAAATGTTTCGTCGAACTCCGTGTCAAAGTAGTTTAGAAAAATAAATAAACCGAAGAGCTCTCATTTTGATACAATAATTTATTATATTTCAAAGAAATACTATCTACAAAATACATGAAATATGATATAATAAATAACAAAATAATAAATAATAAATAGACTTTAGAATTTTATTATAATAACACTATATTTGTCAAAATAATTATTAGGTATGTAAATTACTGAAACAAAATAAGAGTACTATAATTAAATTTACTAAGCATTTATTCATGATAGGCTTTAAAAATCTTATGAATTACAGACAATCTTTTTTCATGTTCATTTTTTGATGGGAAATTAGTTACTGCAGCAAATTTTATCAATGCATTTCGTAACAGAAATTTCTGTTTTTATATTTTTTGAGATATGTAATCAGGAATTAAATTTTAAAAGTGAAAATAAAATGATTGAAAACTAATACGTTACCATCAAAAGTATCATCTATAGTAGTATATTATGAAACACATTTGGCAAATCACTTTGAATATATGTTTAAATCGTTTTATTATTTAGACTATTAAACCATGGATGTTGTTATAAAATCTGATTTATTTTGAAGTCTGATGGGCGGGCTACGTGAATAGTGATCGATTCGCAGTCATTCAATAATACTGAATTATTTCTAATTTCTATAACCATGTTGATTTCCTTAAAATTTCAACACAAACACAATAAAAAAGTATCACAAAATCGAAAAAAAATGAATTTTATTTTTAATTTCAGTTAGAATACTAAACATGGTTTTGATTAAAATACAGTTCAATTAGAATTTAAGTTATAAGATATTTGCTTTATGATATAATCAAAATTTTTATGCTCATCTTATAATTCAGTATTGTGGATAAAACGAAAACTATAAATGTTTTCTCACCGGTCATTAGGAAATGTTATTGAATAAAAATATATAATTGAATAATTGTATGTTGCTTTCATCAAAATTAAATATTTATATAATTATATTTGATTTTATAGCTGTGAACAATATTCTAATAATTGTAAATAATAATTTTTTTTATCATAAAATAAGAAATGCAAAGTAGCATATTTCACATTTATTAATATTATATTATAAAAAAAAAAAAAAAACATACTGTGTACAAACGAATAGTGTAAAAATAAAAAGGTACCAAGTATAAGAAGAACTTTAAATCGTGAATAAAAGAATAATCTAGGAACCTAAATAACGTTAGTGCCGTGTATACATTGGGGGGGGGGAGTTAATATATTTGTATTAAAGTATATAAAATAATATATTTTTTCATTTCAAATCAAACCATAATATTTACGATTTTAATTTGTTTAGATTTTTACTTGCCGGGGGGGAGGGGGTAGCAACATGTTTGTTTGAGTATTTTATATAGTATTTATCTAAAAAGTTTGTTTGGGCAAAAAGTAAAATAGTGCAGCAAATGAGATCGGTTTCAGCCATTTTATATTACCATAATTGTACTAATTATGTTGTGTTACTATAACACAGTACGTATTATTCTAGTTAATAAATGAGTTGTGATAAATACTCTATAAAACTTAAAAACGTCCATAAAAACAGTATAATATGTCCAATAAAATGCATATAAAGTTAAATTTGTCATAAAATATAAAAAAATAAAAAAATGCAAAATAAAAACCACATTAAATTAATCAGAATCACTTGAAATACATTTTTTGCTTACGGACCTACGTGTTGGGACATTAGAAAAAAAGATGTATTTGCATTAATATCTCACCACTAATGATTAATAAATATTCATAAAATCTTTAAATAAAAAAGTAGTTATGTAATTAAGAGCTATACAATTTTTATTATTATTAAATAAAATATTGATAAAAATTATTATTAATATACTATAATAAACTTTGTATAGGTTGTTGTTTTTTTTAGTTTATATATATGTTTTATTCTATAAGACATTTAATATTAATAATTAAGTATAATTTTTTTTGGAAAAAATTTAAAATTAGCAAAAAATTAAACGATTATGATATTGTTGAAATTCTAAACGGTTGTGATTCTATAATTAACAATATAAAATCTATATTATAGATATTGATAGTAACATTTGAGATCAGCTTGATGTACTAGCTGAAATACATAATTATAATATATATATATATATTTTTAATAAGTGAAAAATTAAAAAGTGTACGGCAATGGAGTTATTTCCCTAATCTTAATAAAAATTTACAACTATTTGATGATTTTTAACCCGAAGTTTTATGGTTTTGATATGATAGACCCCCAAATTACACATTTTTCTAAATACGTAAAATATTATTATTTTATTTGTATTATAGTGATGTCGATTTTCAGTTGGTGATTCATTACACAAACATATATACATTACAAAAAAGAAAACCTTTAAGAAATATAGATGTAAGAGAAATTAAAATATTTATAGACTTTCATATCGTAATAGGCTGTACAAAATTTCTAAAAATTAGGATGGATTGAAATCTGATTTTGAAAATGTATGTGTTAATTGAAAATATGAATAAAAATTGATTTTTTGCACTTAGAACAAATTTTCATGTAAAAGAACTATAATGATCAATTTGTAAAAGTTATAGTTTTCCGCCGAGAAATAATATCCCTTGCAACGGACAATCACCCTATTTTAGCAAAGGTCGGTAAAAGTGCCCCCAACTATTATTAATGGTTATATGATGTACTTTAAATGAGGTTTCTTGATTGAATTAATTTTTTTTATCATATCATAATTGAGGACTGAAAGGGTTAAATATCGTTTGTCCCGAGGATGATTGATCCCATTCTCGTCAGTTTTTGTTATAATTTTCTTTTGATACCTACATATTAATTGTATTTATTTTAATGATCTAGTTTCGTATCGTACGGTTTTCACCACATACGATTTAAAGTTAATGAAATACAATATTTCAGTCGCGTGTTAACGGAATTATTTTACTTATAATCATAATTATTGTTATTACAAATATTATCATTATATTTCCTCCGTCCTTACCAAATCATTTCAATAAAAATTCTGTGATTTGGGTCAACGCGTCATTACGGGTTGACGAACTTAGCTCCACGGGGTCCCTAAATAAAAACTTCGCAACCCTTGACAGCCATTAGTTTTAACCAACACATACTTTCTAATGTAAATACAGATATTGTTACGATAGTACAATTTGTATGTAGCCTTGCGACGAAGACGTTATTACTATTCGTCGTACGTGCGCAATTCAGTGGCACAACCAGGGGGTGGACTCCGGGTCTGGACCCCCCCCCCTGGTATGTATAATAGTATATTAATATCATATTCTATATTAGTTTATTTTGTCAGACCCCCCCCCCCCCCATGAAAAATTCCTGATTGCGCTATTGGCGCAATTGTTGTAATATTTATACCGGGTTCGCAGACATGGCCGATCTAGCAGTGAACGCGGACGAGCTGGTCAGGTCGGCGTATCTCGAGGATCGGCAGATGTACTTCTTGCAGTGCGCCATGGAGGAGAACTGCTTGGCATCGTCCGCATACCAGTTGCGGCAGTCCGAGACCGACTGGCACCTGCTCACCCGGAGGCTGCTGCGGTTCACCGCGAAAATCACCAACGTGGGCACAGCCCCGTTCCGGCCGGCCATACCCAAACATTTGTGGCAGTTCCATCAGTGTCACATGTACGTATCCGTAATGCGCGCGCGATAACGACACCGGGCGAGGGAGGTTTGCGATACGGAGTTGTGTGTGTTTACCGTTTACCGTTTGCAGTAGGATCGCCGTCTTAAATTACTAAAATATAATACGCTTCTATTAATCAACATAGATCAAAATGTTGAGAATATTTATCCGTGATATTATTATGTGCACTTTGCGGCTTGCGTTCGATTAGGTAGTTGGCGATAACGATCATTGGTTTTGGATCTTAAGGTGTGATTCCTTAGGACGTGACGCGCGCGACTCGTATGGTTTATGCAGTTCGACGGAAATATCGGCCGCACAGTACTGATTTTGCCATTTTTCGCGGTACTTTATCTTTTGAAACAGAATATAGAATAGTTTCCCAACACTGCTACAGTCACGAGCGAGGAACGCATGCGGCTAACGACAATCAAAACGCACACACTGCGTGACTGTAGACTACAATGCTGTAAAATACTTCAATTTTTCTTCGAATTTTAAACAATAACAATAGAGAAAATAAATATTTATATTATTATTTATTATAGGGATCCTACTCGACGGGTATCGTCAAAATATTACGCTTTCGTCGTATCGATAAAGATTTAATTTGTTATTTGTACTATGGCTAAATGTAGGTATCATTTTCCAAATAACTAATGATAGGCATAATATAGATTTATAATTTATTGTTATAAAATATCAATGTGTTTCACGGTATTAAAATGATAATCAAAAATCACGGAGCCCTTTAACAAGCGCGGGGCACTGGACAAATGTCACATTTGTCCTCCCCTAGCGCCGGCAGTGGCGTATATAGGGGGGGGGGTTCAAACCCCCCCCGAAATTTATGGTTAGTACGACCCACGTGTGCATTTCTTTAATCTATGTATTAATTAAAACCAAACTGTCTAGTATGGGAAAAAAATGCTCTCTCCTAATTTTTAAGCAAATAATACGCCCAATTCTTACCTACGCTTGCCCGGTATGGGGTAATTGTGCATCCTCGCACATCAAAAAAATACAAATTGTCCAAAGTCCTCAGAATAATTGCAAATGTTCCGTGGTTTGTCAGAAATCCAAATCTGCTATTGATACTTTGAATAAACTATTCGTTGATTTTTTTCCAAATATATGGTGCTTAATGTTAATATTAGTAACTTTACCAGTCTCAACAGCGTCATCAGAAAGATCGTTTTCGATATTGAAAAGATTGAAGTCGTGCTTGAGAAATAGTACAAGCGAAAATCGACTAACAGGATTATCTCATGTCAATTCATCGAAGTATTTCAATAAACACTAAAGAAGTGATAAATAATTTTGCAAATCTACCTCGAAAATTAGACTTTGTCCTGTAATTAAATTTATGTATTCTAATTTTCATAGTTATTAAAAATAAGTTAATTTATAACCTTAATTAAGTATATATTTTTTCATACCCCCCGCCCCCTCGAAATTATACGCCACCGAGCGCCGGTACTGCTTTCGGTATATTTATTTATTAATTAATTTAAGAAAATTATACCACGAATACGAGCACTTATAAATTAACAGACACAAGCCTCGAAAACAAATACGAACACGAAGACAAATACGACAAAATACGCAGTAACGCATTAACAAGAAAACAATCGTCGTTCGTGATTCGTCGATTACCGAGAACTGGCAAACAAAATAATACTTTGAAAGACAATTAAATAAAAATAAAATTGTCTTCAGAGATAAAAATAAAATGGGTTTCCCGAATAAAATAAGTGGAATAACGCTATTGAGTACCGCCCTACCAGCATTATTGCAGACGAATTCATATAGATAAAATTGATTTAAAATGATTAATGTATCAGCACGTTTAGTTTTCTAAATAATATTTTTATAACGTGTCAAAAATGAAAATTTTTCATTAATATTTTTGATTTATGAGTAAATTATTTACAATTATTTTAAAATATGCAGTTTAAATCAATACATCTCAAAAACATGCAATTGAAGAAAAAAAAATCCAAAATATGCAAAAATATGCACAATAAACTTTTAAACTTCAATTCCAAACACCATAATACAAATTTGTACCATGTCAGATTTATTCTATTTACTTCCCGAACAAATATGCAAATGCATTTAGTCCCGATCCCTGCATATAAGAGTCTGCGAAACACGACTGAAAAGTATTCGTCGGATCGTCTCCTCCAAATGTTGATATTACCTTTCGATTGATGTAAAACACTAGCATCCTGTTATGAGATGAAAACAATACATTTATAATAGACAAATTATAAGCGCCTATGAGTCAATATCATCTTTATCTAATATGTCGTTATGAATACGCCACCCTTTCCCCTTGAAAAAAATTGTCACTGTAGGCATGTAAATACGACACTAAACAACACTTGGACTCCTGCACAATATATTATTGATATATTAGACCAGACGTGCGTGTATTTGACCTGTTTTGATTTTACCTCCAAAATAAAAATAAAAAATTAAAATAAAACCAAGAGATTTATTTTCTTTTGCTTTTCAAAGATTTTCTTTCTACGTATAGTGTTATAACAACCACCAATTAAAATTGTATTATAAGTAGCTTATAAAATTTGTTCTGTAGATTTTCAAAATATTTTGTATTGATGATTTCGTCCAGGATCAGCTGCATGCTTGATATTTTTATTTTGGACACAACCATTGAATAAAATCACAACATTGAGAGGCACAAAAATATAATGTCTCATAATCAGTGTTGTCACTTATCTATTTTAGATGAATATATTAGTAATCTAGTATTAATTCATCCATATATTTATTTTTATGTAAAATATTTAAATAATATTTTGAGTTTTTGAGAATTCAGTAATTTTTCGTACATCGCCTGGGTAGCTACGATAAAAATATTCAATAGGTAATGAAAATATCTAGTTAAAATAAATATGGTCGAAAAAGTACCCATACTTTGCCCTAAATTTCAACAAATATTTATACCCCAATGAGTATTAACCAAATATAGCTGTTATTTAGTGCAGATATATATTATATATCTGTAGACTTCGCCATATATAATAACAAAAATTATAGTTTTTGGGTAATGAATAACAATTAACAATCATCGTCGTCATAATCTACTGTTTCTTGGTAAAAACTAATAAAATCTTGAAAATAAATCATTTCATCCATGTGGAGGAATTTCATTTTCATTAATTTTATAAAAATAAATTGTAAAATATTGTAACGCACTAAACGGTCATAACCTATTGCCCAAACACAACCAATAATCCTTCGCTAGTGTTTATCCTCCACGCTTGGTCTTATCACGGAAAGTGTCAACGCTTACACGGGATTCAGAAATAAATAGCTATATACTATTAAATGTTTACCTAAATATTTTATTCTAAACAAATAAAACACTTTTAATATTTAAACACATTTTTAACGCTTCGAACAAATAAAAAAAAAAAATTTATATTTGAGATATGTCTTACAAACGTTTTTTTGTTGACAATTTAATATAAAATCATTGTTTATCAATTTATTTATGTGCTTTTTATCTAGATGAATTTTGTTTATCTTTTATAAAGATAATTTTAGTTGAGCTTCTTTTTATCTTTATTTGAATTGATTTTTGGTATACTATATTTATTTTTATAAAATCAAGATAAAAATGTAATTATGGAGACTTAACAAAGCTCATAATAGTCCAATCTGCTGAATTTTTAAATTTTGAAACTTGTTTTTAACCGGAATATTTTTTTTTTTTTTTAGCAGTGATTAGAATTCTATTATTAGATGTGTTATTGATTCAATTCGATTATCTGAAAAGTATATTTTTCCTATGAAATTTTTTAACAAAATGTAATTGATTTTTTAATCTTTTCAAGTAGGTTAGATATTCCAAACCATAGCGTTTGAGATTAAACTATTAACTTAAAACTACAATTATACAAAATTCTTATTAAAAAATATTCGGTAACATTAAAACGAAGGGTCGTTGATTAGATTCCCGGAATCGGGAATCGTTAAAATTTATCAGAATGTATTTTGGTCGTGTCTTATTATTTTATTATGAACGGTTTACCCCTAAATATAGTTATAGCGCAAGATAATAAATGGTTTATTATTTTATTGTCATGAAATTTTAATTATCATTATTGTATTGTCTTGATATTAAAATTCAATATCTTGATGATAATCTTGTTTTAAATCATATTCAGTTTTTTGTAACTATCATGTCTAGTCTTGAATTATCTTGAGATTCAAACATTTTTATTTCAGCGTTCAGTCATCTAATATGTACGAAATCCAACAATTATATTGTTCAAATCTATAGTGAACTATAGTGATGTTTTGCAACCTTTCCTGTTTTATTTATGTAAATATTATATTGTTAATTTATTCTAAAAAAAATGTTTCAAAGATTCAATAACGTTGAGGTGTTCTTGATTAATGTCGGCTCAATATTATCTTATCTTGAATCGACAATACAAAAAGAGTTAGTTAGTATTGACTTGAATCTAAACTGCAATATATTGTCTTATCTTGATCGTCTTAATTATCGTGGCATTATTACCGAAATCATCCAAATTGCCATCTAAACTATTTATATTAAAATTAACAAGAATGGAAAATCTGTTGAATAATAATAATACAGTTGCTTGTTCTACTTGTATATTGTCAAAGTTCGGTCTGAAAAATAATTTTTTCTTCTTTTAAGGTTCGATATAACGATTTCGTCTACAGTGTCGTTAAATAAACAACATTTATATTACTAAAAACACCAATAGGTTCTGTCAAAACTTTGAATGTTACGTTGTGATTCTAAAAATTTAAAAAGTTTCCGATTATTTTTGGTTTGCTTTCTTGGATTTGATGTACTACGCACATTTAAGACGGATACTCACGGATCTTATTCGCAGCCCGACTAGCATGCAGGACAATAAACGAGATTTATCCGCAACACAGTAGTTAATTAAAGCTTCTCCCTCTCTCCCTTCTTAGGTCGATGACGAGGGGGTGAGATGTAACATTTTATCGAAACGTTCAGCGCTTTGTTTCATTGTAATTGATATCGAGCTTCTCCACTCGCCGTCGATGCGACGGAAACGGAACGATTTACGCGACGTTCCTTTTTCACGCGAAGTACATTTAAATACCAATTCGATCAGGGCACATGACTAATAGTCTCCCACGCGATTGATATAAGTATAAAAGATACGATTTAGATGAATATGCATTGTGCGATAACTTGGCCGATAGTATGTTAATGTTGTTCAAACACCTTTATCAATGCCGGGTTGGAGTAATGGGATTCTTGACTCTGGTATCGGAAAGCTTTTAATTAATTTTAACGTAAACAATAGTCCGTCCATATTTCCATTTTAATCAGAACGGGGTAGTATCGCATGCTGACCAAACGTAAAAGTAATATTATATGATAACAATACTTGATACACGACAAAATCAGTACTATATTATTCTACACAATGAGGTACGAAGAGTGATATTTTTTTTTTCTTGGATAAGAGACACAGATAGGGGTGATTTAATTCAGAAGACGGAAAAATTTGTTAAAAAAGGAAACGGTTTATTCGTAAAACAATAATTAGGCTTCCTCTTATTGAAATTAATTACTTAATTATGTTAATATTTTTCATGAAATGTTCATACATTTAATATCTAAATAAGTTGTAATTATACTGTGTATGGTTATTAAGTACATTTTTCTATATATATATATATATTTCGCTATTTTTTTTTTCTCAGATTATTGTATTTGAAATTTTTTAACTGATCAAATTTTATGGTACAAAATAATTTAAATTTTAAATATTTTGCTCTTTCGCATTATTTCTTCCTCTATTTATTTTGTTTTGCTTTTTTTTGTATTATCATCAAATCTTTATTCATTGTGTGGATACGTTTGATTTTTATCCATTTCATGTCTGAAAGTTTATTTTCTTATAACAAAAATATTATTTCAAACTAAATAAAAACACATTATTATTAAATTTAGTTGAGAAAATTTGTTAATTAATAATACAATATACTGTTCACTATGAAAATACATTTTAAGGTACGGGAGTTGTCTTATTGTACCACAGTAGAAAAACTAATCTGCAAAGAATTCATCTAATTTATTAAGGATACATTTAATGTATTTGTATTAATTTATTCAAAATTCTATAGAATGAAATGTTGTTATAAAATTAAAAATAATTCATCGAAAAATATAAATATGACAACAACTATGATATAATCATAGTGTGCAGAAATAATGCGAGCAAAAAAAAGTAAATAATTATTCTGAAAGAAAATACAGGGGATAAAAATGATTATATTTTACAACAATATAAACCATTTTAAATAATTATGTTGCAGTTACATTACTGTCGTAAGTAACAAAATAAGTATTAGTTTCACAGAAAAATAATAATTGAGTTATATAACAAAACTTCTGGATAAAATGAATAATTTAATTAAAAATAAAAACATGCAATTTTATTAATTTCCTATTTTCACTAGAAATCCATATTTTATTTAAATGAATAAAAAGTTTTAATTGAAAAATGTTTTATAATATTATCATTGAAATTGTTTATTGTATTATATGAAAGTTCTTGTTTTGAAAACAACTGCGTTATAAAATAATAAATTAAAAAAAAAAAAAAGAAGAATTCAATAAAGAGTACATGTAGGTAGTTTTCTTTGAGAAAATAAAACTTTAAACCACTCAAGGGAAATGATTGAATAAATTAATTCATGTAATTTAACGTTTGATAATAGAACTTATTATGTAAAATATTATGAAATAATGGAGATGCGGAATAAAAATGATAAACAATATTTACACGAAACTTTTATCCGAATAGTTTAATATACCATACAAATTTAATATACGACATATCACGAGAATAATGAGTAAAAACGTTATATAGGAATATTTTACGGAAAAATTGAAGATTAAAAAATACTAAAAATTGTTAGTATTTTCAAAAATACTATTTTGATTCGGATAATCATTTGACCCTTTGAATTGTTCATAACCAATAATCATTGGTTAATCAATACAGTCACCTTGAAATCTCATTATGCATAACGTATCTGATTATGTTTTTCAAGAGGTTCACACGAGATGCTTCAATTAATGACTGAGGAACAGTAAAATTTGACCACGGGTTTCCGTGGTAAACATAAACATGTTTATGTTTTCAACATGACCCAACTAACGCTAATATCGTAGTATCATAGGACCTAAATATAAGTGATAATGAGGATTAAGAAAGAATAAATAAATCCAATATTCGTTAATCAATATTTTTTTATTAATATTTTTTTAAAAAAATAATAATTTAAATTATATTATTTTCAATAAAAATATAAATATTATATATTACTATCCCGGATAATAATGTTCGTTTGATTAAATATTCTTTTTATATTTATTTTTAATGAATTTCTCATGTAAAAATGTGAAAACTAACGATTTATTGATGTATTCAATAACAATAGTGAGATACTATAGAATAAAAAAATAATAACAAGATAATAAGACCAAGTGCTTAAGCTAGTGTTCAGAGTTAAAAAAAAATCACATGTCATATGAAAAGTTTGGGATTCATGTCGGGAATAGATAGGATTTAAGGACGAGTGTATTTTGAGTGAGTATGATATATTGTTTGGTGAAAATAACAAGGGAGAATATTATTTTTATGTAAGTTTCATACACGTATAACATAAATTTATAGTATATGTGTATACGTATAGAATTATAATGCAATAAAAGCGTATTATTGAAAGAATGAGGTATATTTTTATTCTGAGATCATAAAATTATTATACGATTAAATGTTACATTATAATGTTAACATTATTCAATAACCATTAAAGAACTACTCGAGTGGTTTTACTACACATAAATTAAAATTTTATAAAAATAAATATGAATTATCAAAATGCTTACGTAGACCCTAACCTATGCAAATATGTATATATCGATGGCGATTTTTTGACCGTTTTCACAAGATTGCGCAGGATTGCTGCCATCGTGGCGTCGATAATTTATGAAACCGAAGTATAGTTTCATCGTTGTCGCTTATTCAACAACATTGTATTTCGTTCCGAAATGTTGTTCGAGAACACGACCAACCGCTGATGATCAAGATAAAATATAATGTTATCCCTCGACCGCAGTGTTCGAATGACAAATAATTTAATATCACGCGGCATTGCTGTAATTTTACTGCGATGCTGGCAGCTCTTTAGCGTTGCGACTAGTGGCGTGTTCAGTGAGAGGGGGTTAGGAGGTTATACCTCCCACGGAAATGCCTTCGAGATTAAGAAAAAAATATTAATAGTTTGAAAAAAAATTGTAGTGTTGTTACAATTTATTGTTAACGTTGGCGAAAAGACCGATACCACAAATTCGAAAAATCCACGTACAATCACTTACGGACTGAAAAAAGGTAGCGGCGCAACGACGCACACGACCGTTTGGTATTTCGATGGTCGCTAGGTAGTGCGGCGGCAGAGACGGTTCGAACATTTTCTCGAACCGTCACAAGCCGATAACAAAATGGGAAAACCAGTACCCGACAATATTCGAGAAAATGGTGATATAGAATTTAAAAAATTATTTTCTAATGCAGAATACATTTGTGAAAAAATCGATATTCATATAAGTTCGACACAACAAAGTAAACGCCATATTAATTGTAATGTAAGTTTTCAACAATTTTATAAAATATCTATTTTTATTTCATTTTCGGATAGCTTGAATCAAATAATTAATTTCAATTCGTTTTTTTTTTTTAATAATAACTCCTTCAAAAGATATAATTGGTTACGTCACTGGTTACAATGTTACGTTAATACAACAGGAATTTGTACGTGATGGTAATAATACGGCCGCAAGTGTGAGCGAAACGCGGTGGATCGTGAAAATTATGTGCCTCAGACCGCATTGTTAGGTCACTCTGCTTGCTACGGGTATCTTCGGACGACTGACCTCTCGAATGCTCTGCTGCTCTCTTCTCTCGACACTTTCCCCCCTATCCAAGAAGAAACGGACAAGTATAATACGTCTAAAAACAATGGGGAAGGGATATAACCCTGATAGCGACCGTTATGGGGATAACAATCGTGTTTCGAAATATATTTTCCCTTCGAACATTGTACAGGTAGATATACATATCATTGGGTTTTATTAGTTACGATAATACGAGTACGAGATGAGATGTTTTTAGCGAGATTCTTATTCTAAAGCTTAATTAAAATTTACTAAAAGCTTATTTAAAATTAACTAAAGCTTAAATTACAACGATGTTGGTTCAACGGATGTCTTCACAAGGGTTCCGCGCATCCTTGCGCATACGATGCGAGACGGTATCGAATGTCTTTGAATTTCACCTGTGACACGTTTGCAGGCATTACCACAGCATGGAAGTGTTCGCCACGTTCGACGTGCTGGACGGCGGTGGCATGAAAGTTGCCGAGGGCCATAAGGCTTCGTTTTGCCTGGAAGACAATCAGTGCACGGGCGGTGCGGTGCCGGGTTTCGCGTGCGCCAACTACGGCGACCAGGGCATAACGGTCAACTGCTCGGACATTTACCGGCACAACATTGACTGCCAGTGGGTGGACATCACCGACTTGAATCCAGGCCTGTACACGTTCAAGGTACGTACCTACCACGTTTTCGATCACGGGCAGGTCCGCAGCAATCAAATGTTGAGCCCGGGGCGAAACTTCAAAACACGCCCTTAAGTATTTTAATTTATAAGAGAACTGAATATTTTTTATAGATGTAGCATAAATAATGATTGTTTCTTATCTTTTAGTTATCTAAGCGTCATTTAATTTTATTTAAATCGATAACTTATTAAAATATTAATATATATAATAGTAATAATAATAAGTAGGTTCATAGGTATAACATAATAATATTTTTAAGTTATATAGGTAATTACATAAATACATAATATTGCTTTTAATTATAAGAAACGATTAAATTGCAAATTTTTCATCTTTGCATCCTCTCGGGAATCGCGCCCGGGGCATAGGCACTTTTAGCCACCCCTTGCTACGGCCTTGGTTGAGGCATCGGCCAAGTTCAATACTGGATGGGGAATGGTACCAAACGACGAACATTTCCCTTGATACCACGAAAATATCTTTTTGCTATTCATCGGAGTTTGAGGGGAGGAGGAGGAGAGAAATCATTAATTCGTGTTTCGATCCGATTTATCTCCAATTGCGTCCAATATATTCGCCCGCAACGTGCACAACGCATATTATCTCTGGGACTGACACGACTTTTCGACTTTTCTCTTTAGACGATTTTGACGATCATACTTCATTCACCTTACGTCGTATGCATCATGTCCATCACTCGTGTACGAATGCTTTTATTTCCGTCTACTTACTTACTTCTCCATTAAACGTCTACGTCGTCATCGCGAAAGAACAAAATTGTTAACTAATCAATAGCGGTACGATAACGCACGACCGGGTGGCTTGCCGAGTGCAGATGAAATAATCATGCCGTTTTCGCCCTAATCCGTACAACCCGCTACGTGTATGGTTAATATAATGTGCACAGTTTACCTCACTCGGTTATTTTTTACCTGTCTGCGATTTGCGAAGTTTTACCTACGCCTACACGGATCACCCGATGCGCATAAAAATAATTAGTATCCGGCCGGTTAACGTGCGCGGAAATACGATGATTAGGATTCGGTGGCGGGGTACCGGTGAGATTAAACGCACCCCTTGTCACTCTATCCCTGTCTCGGTTCTCCTATCCGTTTCGCAGAAGCTTTTTAAGCAAATATCACGTGAAAACAGTTAACCATCATTCCCGGCACTGGATGGCCGCGTGGAGATTTACGGAAATTTTGACGTAACAAAAAGAAGAAAAAAAAACAGTCCGATTTAATATTTTCCGGAGAAATAATCCGACCGTTAAACCGAGCGTCCGCGCGAGGGAAAAAATATAATTTTTTATTTACAAAAACGAAAATAATATTATATGAAAATATTTTTACGATTATTGTAAAAGTATAAACCGTATTTATTGTTTGTATTTTTTCTACGACGAGTTAGGCTAATAATGCTAACCGACGCGAACGTCCGTGGTCAATTTTTGTTTTTTTATCCGAACTACGGTCGAAAATCACTAACTTTCTTTATGCCTATGACGATCGCATACGAACGGTTGTTTGACACGAAAACACAACGAATCCTTTACAGTTGATTGAATAGCATACAAAGAGTAACGACAATGTGACGACGTTTTACAACACCACTATTGTCCATCACCGTTATCCGTCTTATAGGCCAAAATCCCTGCGGTCAAGTTGTGCACGGATTGAAAGATTTTTCTCCTGTCATCGATGAACACGATAACTTCACGACAGTATTGATTTCCGGATTATGAAGTCGTATGCTCTGCGGTAGGACAACGTTTGATCTTGTTAGACCGTGTAGTAAAATTGTGTCCAATTTGTATTGTAATAATTGCAACATCTCGGGTGTATGCCATTGTTTTAAATTTTACTGTATGTTCTGTGCTCGCTGAAACTGCAACAAGTGTATCTATGGGAAACAAATAACGTGACTTAAATACTAAAAAAAATTATTGACTACCTGTGCGTCCGGGCTGGCTCGCTCGGGCACCGTATAACACAGAAGACGTGTCGAATATATAAACTATATAAAAAAACAAAAAAAAACAAAAAAAAAAAAGAAAAAAAAAACGAAAAAAAAAAACTTAAAAAAATCTTGAACGCAGATAAAACAAACAGCAGTAGTAACTGTTTTTCTGCGATCGATTACATAACATTA